TTTTAATCCCTTTTATGATTTCTTGTATATCTTCTTGCATCTGTAAAGCACTTTAAGTTGCCTTGTGTATGAATTGTGCTGTACAAATAAACTTGCTTTGCCTTTTATGCAGTTCCCCAATACAATATGTGCAACTCCATGGCTTAAAACACTCTGCTCTCACGAACTCTCCATGGTGACGGACGATAGTGCACGCAAAATCCTCCTTTAAAGAGTGCGGTCCGCACCACTTTTGCTCCAGCTATCAATTGCGCACACAATGATAGTAAACCACCCGCAACACGCCCACTAATATCACGAGAAATTTTTCAGTTTACACACGCAATTTAAAGCTCGCTATTTTGCATCTTAGTAGATCAGGCCAGTGTTTTCAAAGACCCTATAAGACTAAAACAAAAAAAACTGATAAGAAAAATGGCTTTCAGTGGCTAAAAATGATAACTAAAATAAATTAATAAAACAATAATGACTTGTCTGTACACTCGGGCTGTAAGTATTGACAAAAAAAAAAAAAATGATGTGCATATTTGCTCTCTAAAAACATGAAGGCTGGAACAATTCAAACATCTAATCTTTATTTTATTTGATCCTCAGCTAACAGTGAGTACCTCATTGGTCACCTGCTGCATTGACAGAAAAGGGAAGTAAGTAAGCGCTATAATTTACCAGTTTCCTGAGGGTTATCACTGTATGTGTATTTATTGTCATTTAATATTTCATTGACTTTTGCATAGCCTAATATCTCCTGAGTGACAGGGAAAAGAAGCTCATTTTTTAAATGCTGCTGTTTAATCATCCATCTGTGAAACCAGCACAAACAGAGCAGAGCCATACTGGAGATTAACAGTGCACAATTTTAATGACTTCATCCTGATCAGCTTGTGGGAGACTGTACTGTCGATCGGTGCTGTGATTTACTTGTGCTGCAGTTGATTGTTAATCTTCCCCCTTCAGCCAGAGCGGAAGTCACTCATTTTCTGTCTTAATACACAAGCTTTAATATTGACGATGTTCCCTCTCATCATTGGAGAGTAGATGAAGACATGTTGTCCCTCTGTTTTTTCTTGTCCACTGTGATGATCAGTCCCCTCCGTTATGTGGGGCATTTGGGTAAACGAAGAAAAATCAGGCACTTCACTTTTCTGTCATCAACATGCTGGCATGAATAAGTGTGGACTTCTGACATAAGGCAATCACACTTTTCTTCTCATGTGATTTAAGGTGAGAAATATCTTACATTTTGGCCAATGAACTCTCTACCAGCCAGGTTATACTAGCAGTCGTAAACCTGACTGCCGTCATTGGTGATGCTGAACCCCTGTGATTTTCCCTCACACAGATGGAAGGTCACAATACTGGGATCAAGCTCACAAAATGACAGACGGCTGCGTCAAGGTATTTTATTTTATTTATTTTTTCTTTTTATTTAACATTTAAATAATAATGTTAAAATGTGGAATATTCTACAACAGCCTCACTGTTTACTATTAAGAAGTTTTGTGAATGTTACCTTGTTACCTGTAGATTTATAAGCATACACATACCTACTCCAGATCAGGATACATAAATCTGTGAATATAACCAACAACAGTCAGGATGCACTGAACCCACAAGTGTAGGGTGACCATTTTCTGAATCACCAAAAAGGGGACACTACTACGCAGGGCGGAGTTGTACGCAAAATTTTGAGGGTTTTTCAGGTCAAGTGTTTTTCACGTATTTCTAACTCTGTCCACGGTGCACAAACTCAAAACTTCCGTACAAAACCCTGGACATTTGAAGGATTTTATAAACTCCCCCAGGACAGCCCGGACAACCCCCAAAAAGAGGACATGTTTGGGTAAAAGAGGACGTATGGTCACCATACGCAAGTGGTCAAAGAAAAAAGTGCAACGGGAATACAAATTAATACAGATTTTTTTCGCCTTTTGATCACCTTGATAAAAAGGTTTGTATTTGAGCTTTCAGTGCTGACTAAAGTCAGAGCCACTTTCCCTCAGCGTAACTTCAGAACTGTTTATTAAACAAACAGACAGAAGGACTTCATAATGGATCGCCCAGTCTCCATTGCCTGGTCTCTGAACTCGGTTATTCAGCCTCCAGCTGTTTCACTGCTGCATTTTAATACCTGTGGGGGCACTTGACCCTTGTCTCGCACATATACGCTCTAAAAGCCCAGGATACAGCACAGCCACTGCATATACATGCATTATCCACTCTGTTTTTCCTTTATCATCATTTTTTTTTTTTTCAAGTGGTAAAAATATGAAGGTGTTACAGGGAGTACTATGTTTTATATGCTGTTTATGGTCAACAAAAGTGCACTGAGAGTTTATCTAGAAAAAAGCAGGAGACATCAGATTGAATGTGTAAATAAGTTATGCAACGTCCCACATGGCTCGTAGCAGTTACATGAGGGGCCAGAAATAAGACAAGTAGGGATGAGATGTGTCTGCTGCTTCTGCTGCCGAGGAAGCATCGATAGGCGTTCAAAGCCACAGCGAGTGGGCAACAACATCAACAGGATTTGTGCAAAATATTTACATTTAAAGCAAAATGTTGGTGTATTTTATGCATGGTCCAAGTTACATATTTTCTATGATGGACTTAAAGCATGACGTAAAAATGAGAACCAGCAGAACGAAGAAAATTGTAGTGCACAGTGTCTCTCTTAAATATTATGGCAAGTGAACATCTTGGACATCTTGAAAAAGCCCTGCTGTTATTTTAAAGCGTTAAGCTGTGATTTAGTGAATGTAGTGACATTTTGTGATTTTAAATGAGGCAGTTATGCAAACAGAAATGGTTTAGACTGCCAAATGTGGGTGCACTTGTTTTAATAGAGGCTACTATGGCTGTGATGTGAGAGAGTGACTAAGAGTTGTGCTGAATGTGAGGATGACGTTTTCTGTGATGATGAATAATATGATCCTTGAGCTAATTAGATCAAATTATATTAAGCTCCTGTTCAGGCTCCTTGGATGTTTCTGAGGAATAACAAGAAAATGTGGACATCCGAACATACAGGATTGTATTGTTTTGAGTTTTTAAGCTCATGTGTAAAATTTGTGGTTTGTGTTGTGTTTGTGTTTAGCACCCCCTGTGGACAAAGTAGTACCTCTACACTTTCTTGCAAAATAAATATCATCCCGTTTTTTTTTTTGTTTTTTTTCAATGTTGAAATGTATCAATCACTGTAAGTATTGGTTAAGGTACAACAGTTTGTACTCGCAAATGGCAAGTTCGAACTTTGGTATGCTACTTGTACCATTTTCTTACTTAATCAGCAATTGAACATTTTTCCTGATCCTTGCAAAGCACCAGATGGCATTGGAAAGGTCCTCACAGTGTGTGTTGCACCTGTGACAGAGGAATTGTTTGACTTGGTACATAAAGCATGGCAGCTGCTTTACAATGTGGTCAAGGCTGATGAGTGAGTCACACTGAGTCAGGAGATATATCAGAAAACAGGTCATGGACAGAAAAAGAAAAAAAAAAAAGTCCTCTTTAAACCCAGTTAAGCTCTTTCCAAGAAGACTCTAGAGTTCACCAAAGTTCCCATACCTGGTGTTTGTCCCCAGCAAGGACACAATTCAGAGAAAATCTGAGTGCTGATATGCTGGTGCAAAACTATTGTAAATTACTACATTGTACATTGTTGTGGTTCTAATGCAATCTTGCATACAATGAGTTGACAGGAGGAATATAAAGTGAGCAAATTGGAAGGAATATTTACTGAACCAGTCTGAGTCATCTTAATTGACCAAGTATGCACAAAACCCAATTCCATTGAAGTTGGGAAATTGTGATAAATGTAAATAAAAAAATAATGATTTGCAAATCCTTTTCAACCTATATTCAGTTGAATACGGTACAAAGACAAGATATTTAATTGTCATTTAATGTTTTTTGCATATAATAATTAACTCAGAATTCCATGGCAGCAACACATGCCAAAGAAGTTGGGAAAGGTGGAAAAAAAATTGAGAAATTTGAGGAATGCTCATCAAACACTTATTTGGAACATCCCACAGGTGAGCAGGCTAATTGGGAACAGGTGGGTGCCATGATTGGGTATAAAAGCAGCTTCCCCCAAAATTCTCAGTCATTCACAAGCAAGGATGGGGCAAGGTTCACCACTTTGTCGTGAGCAACTGCGTGAGCAAATAGTCGAACAGTTTAAGAACAATGTTTCTCAAAGTACAATTGCAATGAAATTAGGTTTCAATATCATAATAATATCATCAAAAGGTTCAGAGAATCTGGAGGATTCACTGCATGTAAGCGGCACGGCCAGAAACCAACATTGAATGCCCGTGACCTTCGATCCCTCCGGCAGGACTGTATCAAAAACCAACATCAATGTGTCAATGATATCACCACATGGGCTCAGGAACTCTTCAGAAAACCACTGTCAGTAAATACAGTTCGTCGCTACATCTGTAAGTGCAATTAAAACTCTACTATGCAAAGTGAAAACCATTTATCAACAACATTCAGAAATGCTGCAGGGTTCTCTGGGCCCCAGCTCATCTAAGATGGACTGATGCAAAGTGGAAAAGTGTTCAGTGGTCTGACGAGTCCACATTTCAAATTGTTTTTAGAAATAGTGGACGTCGTTTCCTCCGAGCCAAAAAGGAAAAGAACCATTGGGACATTTATCGATGCAAAGGTCAAAAGCCAGCATCTGTGATGGTATGAGGGTGCATTAGTGCCCAAGGCATGGGTAACTTACACATCTGTGAAGGCAACATTAATGCTGAAAGGTACATACAGGTTTTGGAGCAACATATTCTGCCATCCAAGCAACATCTTTTTTCATGGATGTCCCTGCTTATTTCAGCAACACAATGCCAAGCCACATTCTGCACGTTACAACAGCATGGCTTCGTAGCAAAAGAGTGTGGGTACTTGACTGGCCTGCCTGCAGTCCAGACCGGTCTTCCATTAAAAATGTGTGGTGCATTATCAAGCGTAAAATACGACAACAGAGACCCCGGACTGTTGAACAACTGAAGCTGTACATCAAACAAGAATAGGAAAGAATTCCACCTTCAAAGCTTCAACAATTTGTCTCCTCAGTTCCCAAACGTGTATTGAGCGCTGTTAAAAGGAAGGGTGATGTATCACAGTGGTAAACATGCCCCTGTCCCAACTTTTTTGCAGCGATGAAATTCTGAGTTAATTAGTATTTAAAAAAAATAAATAAATAAAGTTTATGAGTTTGAACCTTAATATCTTGTCTTTGTAGTGTACTCAATTGAATATAGGTTGAAAAGGATTTGCAAATCATTATATTTATTTTTTATTTAGGTTTATCACAATTTCCTATCTTCAATGGAATTGGGTTTTGTATCTTCGACATAGGATTTCACCAGTTTGTTAAAATGAAAACTCTTACTCACAGTAAGAATAGCCTGCCTTTGCACAGGTATTTAAATATTCAATCCATCTTATTCGAGCATTTAGAATAAATGTAACATTAAATTCTATTAAGGTCAGAGTTTCTCTTACATCTCCGGCAATTTTTCCTCTCTCTGTCCACAGCCTTCACAAAATCATCAAATGTTTCCATTTTCAAAACTTGTTCTAGGAGTACTTTGTGCTGCAAAATAGATTCATAAAATAAACAAGCTCAGCTGCATCTTACTCCCAGCAGCATCACCTCTCACAAAACCGGGAAACTATTTTGGGTCCAGTGTGACATTGTGCTGGAATTACGTTTGTGCATTCCTGAGGTCCCTCTACTCCTTTTGATCCTGCGTGATTTTAAGTAAGTGCAGACAGCCTTGTGGTCTCATTCCCTTGTTTAAGCATTAAAGGGGTGTTTTCTGGGCTAATGAGAAAAAAGCTGGGATGATCTTTACACTTACAAGGACCAGGCATTCATCAATGGCTACATTAAGCTCTTAAGTTTCACATTTGCATCCCTCACTTGTGCAGTGCGCTTGCATTTTAGCCCCGCCCACCAGAGACACATTAAGAGATGCAGGAAAACAAAGGAAGGAGAGAGTGAAGGAGGACATTTGTGATGAGTGCTATGAGACATCTCTTTTACAAAGGGTCACATAAAGCAGCCTTGTTTGTAATGCTGTCATCAGCTGAGCACCACTTAATCAGCTGTCAGTCAGCTGTAACAGCTGTCTGTGTTCTGTAAAAACTCTTATATTATTGTGTGTTCCAAGTTTGAAAAAAATACCTCTACAAGATATATTAATTATGCACACTATCATTATTCTGTGTCCTGCTTATACCCATATGGATCATTCTAACTGAAGACTGTGTCGTTATTATTATTATTATTATTATTATTATTATTATTATTATTATTATTTTGATGTGTCATATATGTGGGACCAATTTCATCTTTTAGTTAAACTCACAGTTTTTTAAAGTGTCATTAGTTTCATTGTCATTTCTTTTTAGCTTTTTGTTTTTTGATTGCAATATATTGCAGAACTATTTTTTTTTTTATCTTTCCTTTTTTCTTTTTTTTTATGGATTTCTAGTTTCAATTACTATTTTATATGCTTTTGGTTTAGTTTGTATTACTTTTAATTTTTTTTTCATAACATGTGGCAGTTTTTAGAGGCAAGATCCCCCAAGCATTGAACATTGTATAGAAAATAGAGAAATAAATAAATAAATAAATAAAACATCATCTCTTTTGGCTATTTGCCCTATCAGAGATAAGACATGTAGAAATTTACTATATGGCCAGTACAACAATACAGATGCTACCATACACACTATTTATTTGTAAATGAGCCCACAAACCTCATACCATACTTGCAGTCTCAGTGCTGAGGTTGGGCCACCCCAGCCAAAAAGCTCTGGACACGCCCCTGCTTGTTAGTGCATCTTGCCCTGAGTATGTTATTTAAGTGAATGGTGCAGGAGGATTCTCACTGAACAGAAGGCTCTGCTGAAAGATTAGAGGGACTACACTGAAAAACAGAGACTCAACTCACAGGTAAAAGTTAGATAACTGTGTGTCAATGGAGACCACAGCTCTTTTTCCCTTTTAAAGTTGTTTGTTCAGATCGAACATGTGAACAAACAATCCATCCATCCAGATCATCATCACTTAAATTTTTCTCCTCACTATATACCAAAATATGAATGGAACAATATTTGAAGAGCAGCAGTTGCTTTACCCAAGTGTCAGTTAGGCAATTAATAGTTTGCAGGTGAACAAGCATGAGAAAGACCTCATGCAAGTTCTTTAAAAGTAAATCTAACTCCTGGCGCTGCTTCAGGGTATATTTCTGTGTGCCAAAGACGAAAACGAAGTACATTCTTTCTGTTATTTATTTTTAACCCTGCTCCTTGTCTCACATCTCATTCCCCAACTAAACATAGCCTACTGTCTACTGTCAAGTAAAACTCAAATACTGGACAGATTACTCACACCCTCCCCTCACAAGTATGATACTGTTGCTGTAAACCTGCAACCAGCTTGGCCCACCAGGAAAAGTCTGGCTTCTCCCAATTAGCCACTCTGGGCGTGATACTGTCTACACAGTTTGTGAACAGTTACATCAAAGTCTTTGCAGTCCAGAAAGTCCTCTCCACAAGTTCATTGGATCAATGATCCTGACTGTGAAGGAAGAAAAATATATTTTTATACCTTCATTAGGAGAAGATACAGACTGAGAAAAGGTCAATCTGCAAACCTAAATTCAGGGCAGATACCTGTAGTTTTAATCATGAGGTTGACCATACTTTGAGGGAACCTGCTAATTAACACAACCTAGCAGTGTGCCAGACACTTGTTTCACACCTTATGAGGTTCAGGCAGGAACCGTTTTGAAAAAAGTAGCCGCTAACACTCTCCCACTGCGTGATTACAATGACTCAGACTGTGTGTGTGGACGAGTGTAGTCTAGCAAACCCATGGAACCTATTGTCATCTATATTTTTCACGAGGAAATCAGCTCTGCAGAAAGAGAGACAGGCAGGAAATGTGACACATCTAGTCATCCGCAGCCTTGAACGCACACACAGCCTGGAGACTTGTATAAAATCCAGCAGGAGCTGTTCCTGAAACAGTGAGCACTAGTTCAAAGACTGAAGATGCTGGAAAAAGAATGACTTCCTATATATCAAACATGCTGGCTGAATAAAGGTGAATTTTCAGGAATTCAGCGATGAGGTTATTTATGGCGCACACACTTGCCAAATGAGATATCCTTCTTCTGCACAGTGCCATTGCGAGGAGACATCAATAAGAGATGACAAACAGCTGTAACACCTGTCACTGATCGATCCCGGGTTGACAGATTGGGGGATGGAGGGACAAAGAGTCAGAAATAACAAGTTTAAAAAAAAGTTACAGAGAATGGTCACTACCATGAGCCGCTGTAATGAAAGCACAAGCATGAAGTGAACACCGTCTTCCACCTCTGCTTGATTCCACTAAAGCTTAAATCAAAGCAGAGTCAGAAAAAGAAGCGGAGGCAGCTCACCTCCGAGAGTGACCGTGACATGATTCACCTTGCAGTTCTATTTGAGTTTCATGAATCAGATAGCCTTTTATCATACACAGACTCACAGGTAATTGATCTAACCCTCTTCATTAATGGCACACATCATCTCTGATTAAAAATGATCAGAGGAGTGTTAATCAATACCTGGAGGGCGAATTGGCTTTGTGCCATATACAGGATCTAAAGGTGGTTTGAAGTCCTCCATATGAAAATATTTTATACACTACCTTGAAGCGAAGCGAAGCATCATTCCTTTACTCTGATGTGCATTTAATACAGTTTGTAAGATATTAACTTTTTCTCCTGAATTTTATCAATAAAAAATAAATTGAGAGACTGTTTTTCAGTGTAAAATAACTGGTAGTATTCTGGTGCAGAACAGTGACTTAGGATTTGGGACCACTGGGTCTTTCCTGTGCACTATGCAAAAAAGGAAAGACATACATGAGTTGTGTGTCTTTGTGCATCATGGTTCTTGCATCCAGTCATACATACTGTATGTAAAATGTTCAAGAAAACCAATGTTTAACCAAATATTGTAAAACAAATAGAGGTACAAATAAAACTTAAAAACACTGAAAAAATATTTATATTTGAAATTATTAGATAACCTAACTCCAACAAAAAAAGTTAGTTAAGTCAGGACCACTTTAGTCAAAATTAATTATTTATTAAAAGCAAACATTTTTAAATTGGCGGTATGGCTCTGTTCTGAGAGTTCCCTGCCCTTCCATGCGCTTGCATGGAATGCCTCGGCTATAACCTCCCTTTCATGTGTATATATGAAAAGCCAAGGCAGAGAAAGCAGCAGCAAATAAATACAATTAAGATAAATAAATTAAAATCCCCACACAGTACAGAGCAAGCATCAGTGACAATACATCAGTGACACTGGTAAGATCAGACGCAACATAAACAGAGGGAGCTGGGGTGGAGGTGGGTTGCAGACTGGTTGCAGCAGGCAGAGTAGGCAGGAGAAGCAGTTTAAATAGGGCGCGATTTTGATGTGTACAGAGTGATTACCTGAGCTGTCAGCTGACTGAGGGCTGGCTTAAGATCAGCTGACTGTAGCCTTTGGCTTGACTCCATGACCTGCCTGAACTAACGCTATGCTTCATTTTCTGCTCATCTCAGAGATACTCTTCAACCATTTACAAACACAAATAGTAACAGATGTAAAAGCTGCTGATTTACAAACAGATTAGAACAGCAGAATATTTCACCTTCATAAAAGTTTGTCCATACTGTAAAAAAAGAAAAAAACATTTGTGTGTTTATGTGTGTGTGTTTGTGCAGAAGAGACAAAACACATCAGACAAACACAGCCGAGCCTTTTATGTTGCAAGAGAGCTAACAAGTGAAGCCTACATAAGCTTTTAGGTTTGTGACTAACTCATGCAAAACTTATAGTAACAGATGTAAAACTCTGAAAAACAGATTAGAAAGGTTCAATATATTTCACCATCTAAAAGTTTGTCTACTTAAAAGGTAACAATAAAAAACATTTTTTAGGATTTTGTGGCTGCAGATCATAATTTACTAAGATTTATCATACGTTGACCCACGTCACCACAGTATGCCTCAAGGCTCTCAAAAGCACAGGCAGGCTTAAAACAGTGAGGTTTAAAGTCTAAAACAAATGTTTTGGTTCTCAAATGGTAATCTGTTACACAAGCCTGCAAAGAATTTGGGAAAAACATCATCAATCAGAATATCATCAGAAGAGTCAAAGCATCTTGAAAAATCATTGTGCAAAAAGAGGCAAGGCTGGAAAAATAAAACTGGATGGCTGTGATCTTCAAGCTCTCAGGAAGCACTGCATGAAAAACAGACGCAACTGTGTGGTTGAAATTACTGCATGGGCTGAAAATTACTTCCATAAACCACTGTTTGCAAGTGGAGTTTGTTGTTGTATCCACAAAAAAAGGGTTTAAACTGTACCATAAGGAAAACAATATGTAAGCATGATCCACAAACACTGACTGCCTGAGGCCCAGGCATGTTAAAGATGAAGGTGAAGTGAAAAACTGCCCTGTGGTTTGATAAATCAAATTATGACTTTCTTTTTGGAATTAATGGATGCCATGTCTTTGCTCAGAAGAGAAGATGGACTTTCTTTTTTCCATAGCATGTAAATTTTAAAATTTAATGAAGAATTTTTTTTTTTTTTTTCCAAAACTAAAGGCGAAGCAAGAAATAATCATTTTTAGTTCACAGGAACACTTCTGGTCAAAGTTTTGAGAACAAAGCGAATCAATAGAAATAATACATTCTACAAAAATCACGACCAGAAAGAGAAAATGAGTTGAACTCCAGTTGCATTGGTAGGGTGTAAAAAAAAAAATCCAGAACACTTAAATGATATCCAAAAACTTACAAAGAAATAGGGAAATTGAATCAAGGGGTTAGAAATTTCATGACCTAGGGGTGGCATATCTGATGTGACTGTGTGCGAGGGATTTGGAGCAGCGAATTAAAGACCATAAGATAAAAAGTAAAACACGCAAAAACAAGAGATTTGGAACTAAAAGTACTGGACATGCTCAAAAGTAAAGGCCAACACCTTTTGAATAAATAAAGGATTGGGTTTGCAGAGCTAAAAAGCAAAAAATAAACAGAAAGAAGGTGTAGAAAAGAAACTACACTGTACACTACTACACTCTTTGTTATCAGCATACCATTCACAAAGGCCAATGACAAGGTTAGCTCACAATATATGCTGCAAACAATGTCTTTTCCCTGGATGGATCCTGCATATTTCAGGAAGACAATGTTAAATGTCATTCTGCACATATCAAAATGCAGCTTCCTAGTTGAAGCATAAGGGAGCTTATGTGGCCTGCCTGCAGTCATAAAACATTTGGGGCATCATGAGACAAAAAAAACAATGAGACCCTGGACCGTTGAGCCGGAATCAGGCTAAAATGGGACTCTATTAAGACTTGAGAAACTTGTCCCCCGGTCTCCAAGTGTTTACAGAACGTTGTTAAAAAAGAGGTGATGCAACACGATGGCAAGCGTGCTCTCCTCCTCCCTTTTTTTAAAAACAGCACTAAATTTAAACATAGCACATACCCACCTGCCCCTTAATTAGGTACACCTGTTCAGTCGCTCGTTAACACACATCACTAATCAGCAACTCAGTGCATGTAGACATATAGACGTGGTCAAGATGACTTCCTGAAGTTCAAACTGAGTATCAGAGTGGGGGAGAAAGGAGATTTAAGAGACTTTGAATGTGGCATGGTTGTTGGTGCCAGACTGGTCTAAGTGTTTCAGAAACGGCTGATTTACTAGGATTTTCACCCACAACCATCTCCAGGGTTTACAGAGAATGGTCCAAAAAAGAGAACATTTCCAGTGTGCTCAAGTTGTGTGGATGAAAAAGCCTTATTGATGTTAGAGGTCAGTGGAGAATGGACAGACTGGTTTGAGATGATAGAAAGGCAATGGTAAATCAAAAATGCACTTGTTTTAACCAGCGTATGCAGAATACCATCTCTAAATGCACAACACATCGAACCTTGAGGCAGGTGGGCACAGCAGCAGAATAAGACCACTACGGGTGCACCCTTCCTTCTGTTTAATTGTTAACATTTAGTGTGTTGTCTTTGCAGTATTTTCTATCAACATTTTAGACAGCATCCTGAGTTCTTGATGGCAAATTCAGCAGAATGAAGTAAAGTTAATGACTGCTCTACCCATAGACTGTATATACTGCGGACAACTTAATTCCGCCAGTATTCGGATTTGAAACCAAAAAGCTCTTGGTATTTCCGCAATTTTTCTCCACTTCCTGAAACCAACATTGTGCAGTAGCATTGTACGCACGCCAACACTTGCACAGAAGAGTACTGAGAGTCGCTGTGATAACAATCGGCTCAAACAGCGTATCCCCCGGGTGAGCTAGGCAATCTTTGTACGCCCGTAGGCTGTATCAAGTGTCAGTCATAGAAAATGCAAACCCCCTAATACCTTTAAAAATGGAGCTGTACAGAAAAAAGAGGACCTTAGCACAAACCAGTCTGACAGTAACTACATGTCAACATCATGTCAACATGAACATCCTGTCATGTAATCAATTTCTAAAGTTTGTCCACAGCTCTGTGAGAATGGCTGGAGGAGGCAGGAGTTATGACCTTTTGCAACCCATCACCAGAGGGTGCTGATCTCGAAGTGGCTTCACCCAGCGAGGAGGCAGATGGCTTCCACTCTACATTCAGTCCATGGATCTACCTCAGTTAAGAACATGACACCACTGTGTATCACCAGATTTCACTTCAGTTTGTTCAGATTTACAAGAAACTAGTGGGCACCTCAATTCTAGTGTTAAAAACATGGTACTTACATCTTACATCAGGTCAATTACATCAGTGTCAATTTTGCAATCAGCAACTAGATATTATGTTTTTATGAAATATTTAACAAAGCCCATTTTGAACAAAGGTACAGCGTTTCAAATTGTAAAAGTACATTTCACTGCTCTGAAGAGCTGAACAACATCTACATAGAGAAGAATTAAGTAGGATTAAAAACAACCTATTAAACCAATTTAAAAACAAAGAAATAACTGTTGAGAAAGCTAATTGTTTCTTAGCAGGGTAAATAAGCCCGATCATTGGCTCATCAATTGTAAACATTAAACAAAGTAAACCATATTAGATTGCCAAACACTGCCTTAGTCTGCCACTCACTTCAGTATAGTGGATTATGGTACAGACAGCCTTGTTTGATGAAAAGAGAAGGAGAGGTTTGAGTTGAATAAAGGGGTCTGCCAACTGAATTAATAAAAATAGAACCATTTATAATGACAGACAAAAGCCAGCTATAAAGGGTCTTAACATGAAGGCTCTTTGCATTAGTTGTGATTAATTTTTACCTTTAGCCTATTCAAGATTGCAACATTCAGTAATTTAATTAGATCCAGATAAAAGGATTGTACATCAGTGCAGCTCATCCGATCAAGAAAAAAAAAAAATCACTCAGTAGGAGAGTGTTAGCATACGGCTTTTACATTCACATATTTCAATAGAATGATGCATTGACCAACAAACTAAATACAGAGTCAATGAAAATGTAACAGACAAAGAAATGTAATCCTTATAGAATTAAGAATATAATACGATTAATGCCATTTGAAGACAATGTTAAAAGGAAAACATAGGTTTCTTATACTTGGCATCTGCATTGTGTTTAGAAGACTGTAACTTAAAGCTGCTGTAAGAAAATTTTGGTTTGTGTTGATCTTGAAGTGGTACCTTTTATCTCTTGTTCTTTAAGAGTAATTTTTTTAGACAAGAAAACAAAACAAACAAACAAGCAAACAAAAAAAATTATTCTGTTGTTTTTTAGTAGTGAAATATTTCAAGCAAGCTACCTCCTGGAAAAACAGGAGTGCTGAATCATCTCACAGAGAGCTGCTGCAGGCAAGCTCTTGAGCAGTCTGCTGCTGCTCCCCTTCTCCACCATTATAAGACATATGGAAACCAATGTAGAGGACTACCACTATGGACTCAGTACTACTGTTCACTCATTTTTAACACAATATCAATATTTAATGAATGTATAAAATATGGCTATTGTCTATATCTTTGCCCCTACGCTCTGGTGTGCCCCAGGGATCTGTTTCGGGATTACTGCTGTTTATAATTTATAATCATAACAGTACTTGTCAAAATGTCTCCAATGCAAATTTTCATTTGTATGAGGTTAATAATGTTATATACTGCTCTGCTCCAGCACCAGCACTGCACAAGTATTAATAGGAGGCCTTCCTCTTTCATCATTGCTGGGCAGGAGAATTTCCTTCCCCAAGGCTTTCTCTACCTGTTATGAAGGACCTCTGAGCTTACACCCAACTACCAAGTCTCTGACATGCTTTACTCACCAGGGGGAAAAAAAGGAACGTGACTGTCATGAAATCTGTGCAAAGAACAGAAGCTCTGATATTTATGCTGCTGTGGAAGAGCTGCTATTTGAGCCCCTCTTGTCAGTCAGTCTCCTTCAGTCAGTGTAGTCTTTAGGGTTTTAATGACCTTGTCAACATTGTCACGCACCACCAAGTGACATTTCTTAGCTTTCATGAGCATCAGGGCAGAAGCAGACGGGATATATCCTATGTAAAAAACTGTCAGGGGGATCATTGGCTTGAGAACATTGACTCTGTCCTCTGCTGCTCTCCCCTGGGATATTTCAAGCTCTAGATCTTGCATGGACTGACACTCACACCCTTTCGAATGGCTAGACCTGTTTCCCTTTAGTACATTCCGACGCCAATAGAGGGAATCACAACAACTTTGTTGATTTATGCCGAACAACATGCTCTCTTCCCTCCCTTGATTTTTTTTTTTTTTTTGGAAGTGGGAATCAATTCACCTTGCAGCAGCAGCTGTGTGATGTAAGGATCTAGCTTTTTCCTTTTTAAATTAATTACAAGAGATTCTTGAACAGCTGATCAGTATTTTTAATGCTACTATTTGCCTTACCCAGAAATTTAAGACATACATTTTCAGGAATGTGGTGTTTCTAGAGGGTTTGTCTTTATGAGGGTTTTATTTTGTTTTTGTTTTATTAGAGTAGCTCACGGATAGGCCTTCATTTTGAAAACGGTCCAAATAAGTGTACTAAAGTTGATTGCTTCACATTTGTTTATTAGGGTGGGGATCACTGACATTGTGGGTGTATATTTTGCATTCATCTCTTACATAATCATCAGTCTTTTGGGAATGATGTCTCCTGGCCCAAGTGCACACATTTATTCTTAAAAACCTTCACCTTCAACAAAGTTAACGGCCTGTGTCTGGCACTTTGGGTTATTGGCTGAGGTTCCCGTTTCTACACTAAGAGACCGGAGATGTAAAATCAACTGTCTTCTGAGTTTTTCAGGGAAGTTGACCCTGACATTAAACAATGTGCCAGCATGAGGAAAGAAAAGGAGTGAGACATTGGCCTTGTTTCTGAATAAAAACAAAACAAAAAAAAAACACTTAGCGTCATATCAGTTAAAAGTGGTGGGCCATGTTACTTGTTTGAGCATATAACAGTTTTTCTTGTCATTCTATGCCATTTGGTAACAAAACTAATTAAAAACCTATCTTAGATGGAGTCCTGATGGCCAAGCAAATGAGAATTTAAATGTTGCCCAACCTGGGCCCCATTTGCATGGGAATTAAGTTTTTATCCCCACCTTATCTCATTAAAAAATGACTCAGTACCCAGCAGCACACTCGCACAGGATAATCAAAACTCTGTATTTATACACATTTACTGAGTTTACCCTCAAAGAGGTAATGGCTCCAAGTAAATATAACCCCAGAATTTCACAGCAATGTCTTTTTTCTGTAAAAAAAAAAAACTTCATGCTGCCATTTATATAATCAATCTAATTAGTTTTCAAATAATGCTAATTTGTTGGATTTAGCATGCCAATGCTACAAAGCTGTCTCCAAGTTGTCCAGCCCACTGAGACTCCTGTATTTGCACACAAATACCATCAACACTTCAACTTTTACACAGCATGGTTACATTGTGTAAAAATAAAGAAATAAATAATTATAATAATAACATAAGTATTTATTGGGTGTAACCAACTAAAAATTGACTTTTTATGTATCTATGTATCAACATGTTAGTTCACAATAAATCACAATAAATTTCTAAAACCTGCACTAGCAAACCTTAATGGGATTGGGGAATTCATTTCATTGTTCAAAACAGAACCTTATTTGGACCCAAATTGGCCCTAACATCCGGAGCATGCTCCAAAGTTCACACACTGCACTTTGACCCTGAAGGTAAACAGCGTAATGTGTTGAAGAAAGATCAGAACAAAGCCTTGTCAGAAACAGGGAAATAAACAAGTTAAACAATTGCTTCATACAAACTAAAGCTGCAAAGATGACCACAAATTAACCTTTTGACACAAAAGTTACCAGACTCTTGCTAACCTCCAATTATTTAACCATCTGTTATCTTTACCTCAAAGGATGTGAACAGAGCAGTTACCTTTTTTTTCATGCCAATGATTTGCATAAAAGGTCAATGTGTAGATGCTATGTCGCATCTGGTGACACGATAGACTGGCATGAAACTTTGCATCTTAACAGGAGTGAAAAAGATTCAACTCGAGATGCATTTGATTGAAGCCAGAATTCTTCTCTTTTTTATTTTTATTTTATTTTTTATTTGATATTTGGTAAATTTTGTAGAGTCTTTCACTGTGTTTGCACATTTTGTAAAAGGCTGGCTGTAAATAAATACCACCATCACATTTTTTTTTTTTTTTTTTTTTTTTTTTTTTTAACGTAACCTAGCTTCAAAATGTATTTTTTATAAATGAATAGAGCAGATTGGTTAAGGATTAAATATTTGATGACTTCTAAAACTACAACAAACCAATGAAGGGCTGGCAGTAATACTAGGGCTTTAGACTACCATCGGGATAAA